TTATTAAAATAACTTTAATAAAATTGTTTTGTATATTATTTCATTAATAGTAATTAAGTAATTTTAGCACCAAAAGTGTAGCTCGAGTTGGAAAACTTAAATCCCTTAGTAGTATCTTCTTACTTTTCACTTGAACGACCATTAGGGATGGTAATGGGGTCTTGTGGGGTTGAAGAGTCTCTTCCTGTCTCTATTGCTGCAAATGCCGAAAATAGGAATTTTCACAAGGATTTTTTATGAGAAATGGATTTTGCCCCATTCCTATTCTTTGTGAGGATCTCCATTCTCTATCAATTTATATCAAAATATAAATTTTTTATATATAATTAATAATATTCAATTATAATGAATAAAATTTTAAAAATTAAAATACAATTAATTAAAATTCTCTAAATATAAAATCAAGCATAAATTATCCAAACATAAATAACGATCAATTCAACATAAATAGCTAAAACCAAAAAACTTGTTCCAAACATAAATAAAGGTAAATCCAACATAAATAGCTAATCTTAATAACTTGGATTAAGTTTAATTTTTATGGGATTAGGTTTGGGTTTGAAATATGTATTATGTATTGTTATAATGAGTTGAATTAAATTTATTATTTTTACTAAATAGTAATTATTACTAAATTAATGAGATGGGAGAATATTATGTTCCACCTCTATTGCATAGTTTAAAGAAATTATAAAATTGCTCAGAAAATGTAAAAATGAAAAAAAAAAAAAATCCAGGAGACGGTCAAAAGAACCCAGAATTTTTGACTTGTTGAGAACTTGAGATACCAATTTGAGTTCGCTACTCACCAACCCATGGAATTCAACCACTAAAAAGGGGAAAACACACTAATAATTTAGAAAATTGAAATTCAAGAGGTTATTGCATTTAAAATGGTTAGAAATCGTTGTAAAATTATTTAAATATTTTTACAATCTATTTGCTCTGAGAGAATAAGAAGAGAAGGGTGTGAAAATTATTATAACTAATTAAATTATTTTATTAATTTAATGAGAAAAATAAGGTTACTTTTTCTTCTCTTTTCTCTTAATTTTTTTTCATGTGATAGGATGGGTCTGAATCATTATGAGATATTATTAATGTAATT